TGCCCTCAGAGTGTCTTTTCAACTTTCTGGAAGCTGCAACCAAGTCATCTCTGCCAAAGATAACCTTACAGATATAGTGTAAAAGGCCCAATTAAGATGAAATGATGAGCAAGAAAGGACTTTAATATATTAGTAACTTCGTGTCTAATAATTTCATTTCTAGGCCATGTTTTACCAAAAGGCTGAGGATGGGCAATAACATATTAAAGAAACCATGGTGGCTACAGATCGATGCTACCTCTGGATATGCCAGCTATGATTTCTGCCATCTTCAGTCAACACAGCATGGGAGTGGTGGCAGGGGCATCTGCTGGGTGATAAAGTCAAAACAGCAGCCACAACCACAGGTTCAAGGTCCCATTTATGTGTTGCACGCATGGCTGACATCTTGACTTTCTGACCTCCCTGCAGATGCCCTTGAATGGTGGGCGTTGTACAAAGACTTTTCTGCAGAGTACCAGCTTGGGCAAAAATAATCCAATGAGATCAACTGCTAACAATTATTTTAATTAATCCCAATTAATTTAGTAACTTTTTTTTTGTTTCATCAGTGTAGGACGCAACACTTAGTTGATTTTGACTGATCTTGAAATGTTAAGCACGGTCAGACCTAGTTAGTTCTCTGATGTAGGAATCAGAGCTGCCAACGAGAAAGAAATCCCAGAGAGAAGCAACGGTCAAGGGTTATCTGCAGGGTGGGGTGAAAAAAAGTCAAGGCAGTGGCCTTGATGAGGTAACTGAAGTTCTGCCAAGTTTTTACATGCATCATAGGGAGGACCAGCCACAGCTTCGGTCACACCGCCCCAACCACCATCTTGACTTTTTTGACCACACCCGCAGACACCCCTGGGTCAAGAAAACAACACGGATGGGTCCTCATAGTCACCAGGAGTCAAAGGCTGCCTGGAGTTCCATTCTTTGAGTTGGGTGGCATTATAAATCTAGCAAGCAAGCAAATACATTAAATTTAAAATATTCCTGTAGTGTATCACTTCTAAGCACCACAAAATCAAACAGCACCCATTTTAATCAATGTTTATTTATAAATGTAACATTTACTATAAAAGCAGTTGCATTTTAGACAATTTTCTTACTTCCCAGAGCATTTTAGAATAAATATCATCAATAGAGATTAGTGTAATGGTTGGTATTCAAGCCTTTGGTGATCTTGCGTGTTAAAGAGGCTTCCCTTTTGGCTTACCAATCTTCAGTCATATCAATAATTATATTGAATATGGAATTAGTTCTAAGTAACAAGAATAAAAGATCACTATGAAGTGCTGAGAATGAAATATATAAAAAAATAATTATGACACGGTTATGTCTGCCACCTAAAGAAATGGAAAGCTACATACAGTTTTTGGAACGCTTAAAAAACCCATTACATTTATAATATTGCCATATCGACAGTAAATCACTCTTTAAAACACGTATTTAATATTTCAACTCACTCTAGCAAATTGTTACTCTTCTCCTCCTTGCCGCTGCTCTTACTCTTCCCCCCAAATTACTGAAATAACATATGCATCACATTTACATCAGTTGGAGGTGGTGGGGACTGAAGAATGAACAATCTTCTTATAATAATGCAAAACTAAAAAGGAGAGGAAGACCAGGGTCTTTAAATCTATGCTGGTGACTAATCAATCATTATGGAGGAATGGAAGTCGAGATCCATAAGGTTAATCCATAAGCAGGTTAATTCAGTTTTTGTCACCTGTAAAGCTAGCTACCTTCATCCTATAATTACCTGGAAGAAGGTAATGGTCAGCTGGTCACTTTCTTCTTTTTATTAAAAAAGGCATGGGAGATTCTGGTGGCCTGGGAACGCTGACTCCTATTTTGCTCTCAATGAGCGCTGGTAGGACTGTATGGTGCCTTCCTTCATTCGTCCGTTCGGGAAAAGATCCCAGGGTTCTTAATAGGGATTGCTTCTGAGTAAGCCTCATTGGCAAAAGTAAAACCTGAACTCCAGAGTTCTTGTAACTTTGCCCAAGTTTTTAAAAAACAGATGATGTTCACAAGCGCTATCAAACACTCCAAGTCATTGGATCTTTCGCTCTTTACAGATGTGCTAATCTGCTCTACAGCGAGTATGTTTTCCAAAGAGCTTAAACACACCCAGTTGTGCAGCGGATTCCGCCCAAGCTGCGCACGCCCACAAAAAGCCCACCGCGATCAAAGTACTTAATCACATCTCTTTAGAGACGACCTTCCATCCTGGAAACGTGACAGCATCTGCATCAGGGCAAATCCAGAAGTTGCAAGTACAACTTCTCCGTTCTTATGTTCTGAACAGTCAGCATGTCTGGCTACAAGTGATGTGGTGAAAATACACATCGAACCACAATTTCCCCCAAAGCACACCAGTGGCGTGACTCGCAATTCCACTACCACCATCTATATGAAGGTCAAAACAATGTATTTATTACAATTATTTGTATCCTCCTTTCCAAGATAAAAGTCCTCCCAAAGTGGCTTATGAGCAATGTAAGCAATTGTAAACAAAAGCATCATTATTTTTCAGAAACAAACGTGGTTCTTTCTAGAGAGCAGTTGGGGGTCACAGCTCCTGTGATAATCAAAGCAATGCCAGCAGCCAATTTTCATGTGGCACAAAGCAGCCCCCCGTCTCCCCTTCCTAACATTACAAGAAGAGGCACACACAGTGGTTTTTACCGCTTCTTCCAGGGAGCCACACATCGTGCAGGTTTGGAAGTGTTGTTTCACTGCTCGTGATCCTGGCCACCAAGGGATTTCAGGTGTGATGGTACCACTAGTTCACATGGCTAAGCAAAGACAGTGGGAGTCTGGCTGACGTGTGGAGCCAAGCATGTGTGCACCCTAGGGATGAAGGGACCCGCCTCTCTCCCAAAATGGTGGTGCTCGCACTGGAATATCTCATCAGGTGGACACCAGGGATAGTCCATGCATAGAACCCCATGCTCTGAAGAGAAATTGCAATATTCATACTCTTAATCCTGCTTGCAAACTCTTGACACTAACAAGCACTTTTCACCCGAATTAAAATTAGGGACAAATTTCATAGCTACCCCTCAAATTCATCCAGCCCCATTCCATTTGCTTCTGCATGAATTACTGAGAGGGTTGTGTCTTCAACCTGAATGGCACAAATCTTCCATTAACTTTTTTTTTTTTTTGGCAGAGATGCAACAGGAAGCTCCCCCAGAAAATGGCCAATTTTTCCCTTTTTCTGCATCCAGTTGATATCTTGGGCAGAGATTAAACACTCTGCTTCCAACTACAGCCTCGTTTAGGGACTGTTCGCAGTTATGACAGTGATGAAAACGTAATGTTGTGACCAATCCTCGCATTTACGACTTTTGCAGGTCTGTAAAGCAAAGGAAAGCTGAAGGAAGATCATAAGCACAGTCGCGGTTTCACTTAGCGACTGCTTTGCTTAATGACCGAGTTGCCTGTCCCCATTGTGGTCGCTAAATGAGGACTACCTGTAGTCAGTCTGATAGTCTTCTCTGTTCTTAGGATGCAAAACAGCATTTTCATGATGTTATCAATTCTCAGAATGACTGTTTTCAAGTCATCAATGGGGGCCGGGGGGGGGTGAAATTTAAAGAAAATGCAGTGTGTGTTTTCATCAGTTCAGCTCCCAGAATTTCCCAGCCAGCATGCTGAGCTGAAGTCCACACATCTTAAAAGCTGCTGAGGTTGAGAAACCCTGGGCTAGCTCAATCAAGTATAGTTCCAGTCATCCGGTGGAGTCAGTTTCCTGATCTGGACAGCCTCAAAGGGCTCACATCCAGCCACAGGTCATCTAAATACATGAAGACGTGTGTAAAAGTTGTTTGACCCTTAGAAAACATTTATCTCTTATCAAAGAAAGGTCTTATTGTTAACGTTAGCCCATCAATCTCAAGGACTTTTTAATTTCAACACTTCAATCTCAAGAAATCTCAATTTAGGGTTTGTTTTTCCTTCAATATTCTTAGTACAGTCTCCTTAAGCGAAGCTTGATTCCTGGTGACTATAAAGACATGCACATGAGGCTTGCTTGGCAACCTGCAGTTACCTTCTTGCAGGATTTTGTAAAACATACTTTCCCAACTAGTCTACCCTGTAGGATTTCCTTGTGGTCTCCCATCCTAGTATGCACAAAACTGATCCTGCATAGCTTTTTGGGGAACAGCAAAGGCTGATTAGGTGTGGCTACCTACTTAGACATAATATGCTTAAAACAGCAGAAATGTGTTCCTGTTTTTCAAGACCATCTTCCTTTTCTAACTACATTTGCATTTCCTCCATATTCCAGCTTTTTAACTATCTGGAATACAACTCTCATAATCCCCTGACTGAGGGGCTGATGAGATTACCGTGCAACCCTTTTGAAAGGTCCTGGGCTGAGAAGACTGGCAAATGAATACAAATCGCTATTTTAATAACTATGGTATATATATTTTCGCTTACCTTCCATATATTTGAAATCTGCCATTGTCATTTGTCCTTCAGCTAATTTAAATGAGTACATAATGGCTGTTGCGACCCTTCCAGCAATGGTGAAATCAGGCGAGAAAAGCAGCAGGAACTATTTTCCACATGGAATCTGTGTCAAGCTATAAAGCAAACTCCAGAAGTGGACATAACCCCACCATATACTCATATCTAGAATTGTGCACGTCTTTGCAAGAACGTTTTCCAAAGATTGCAAGCTAGATGAACTCAGCTACGGCGCCGCTAGAAGACCTGACGGACCAAGTTGGGGACAGACTCTCTATCTATGTGGTTCTAAGAGTCAACAACGACTTGACGGCACATAATTTATCAGTCAATCACTGAAAGTAGCAACGGGTTTGTTTTGTAGTTACTTGTGAATCCCTGCCATGAGTGTCTCTTTGTGTGAACACCCCCCAATTCTAAATAGGCTTACTTGTCAGTAAATCCCACTGGTTTCACCTGAACTGCCATCTTAAGATCTGGACTTAAGATCTCATCCCAATTGTTATGATTTCATATTCAGATGGGCAGTTGAGGGAAGCTTTTGAAAATGTTTAGTTAAATGTGGGTAATATAATGTAGTGCGCATAACTTTTATAAACAAGGTAGACGGTTCTGCATATTACCAACCTGGCTAAAAACAGAAAGAAGGATGAATCGGTTGTTCCTCAGTCTTACCAATCATTGAATTTTCCAGTCTATGAGCAGCCAGGCTGGCAGGATGAACATGCTTCCCATTCAAAGGAGTTCCATCTGTGCTCAGTGTCTGCCCCATTCAGTTTAACAGAAGGAAGTGCTGGCCTTTGCTCTTGCTTTGGCAGTACTATAATTCTGTTAAGGGTTTCTTTTAAGATGTATTTAGGGTTAATTACAAGAGGAGCCCCATTTTACATCCTCACCACTTCTCCAGAGAGCAGTGCGGGGATCAGAAGCTTCTTGTGATCTCTTCAGGTTCCTCATCTCCAGTGCTAACCTGGTTACCACGGAATGACAGCTTCACAGCTACTGAGACTTCCACATCATTATATAGTAACTGCAAAGGGGAGCTGTAATATTAATTTTTTCCCAGTAAAATAAAACTCTGAGTTTATCTTAATTAAAACCGAAAGAGTTAGCAAAGGTCAGCTAAAAAACAGGTTCCACCCGTTAGGCGTTTTGACAATCGCCGAATGTTTATATTGTTTCGTGAAAATGCCAACATTATGTAGATGATCTGTTATTACAAGAAGCCTCATTTTATGTCTTCAAAGATTGCATGACTGAAGGTGCAATAATTTATTGAGAGAATTCCTACCCTCCACTGAAGGCAATATAGTAAAAGGTTTCAGAATTACAATATGTTTTATCAAACGTGTCTGTATAAAAAAAGTTACCTCTTTAGTAATAAACAGAAAAGTTGGTTTCTATGATGCTGCTTAACCTCCTCCCGCCAACAGAGTTAATTAGATTAATATATTGGCATATTAGAGAACATCTACAAAGTTTGTGTAAGCTTAAAATTCTCAGTTTCTAGGATATTAAAACAGAATAGACTTATTGCATCTTCATTCCTTTCAAAATATTAGATTCTGAAACCAATCGTGACCGATAATCTGGAACACGCTCTCCTAGGAGGGAAAGGAACTAAATGTCCAGCCACATACTTCATACATGTAACATAAGTGAACTCAGGAAATAAAATTATGTATTGCATGAGGAAATAGGCATTTGAGCCTTTCAACCCAGCTTTCAAAGTGAGAGAAGAGCTATGAAGTCCATGGATTTGAGCTCTTACAAGCAATTGTGCTGAACAGCCCCAGGACACAAATGATGATGTTCCTTCTTGCAGAACATCTGTAAGCAGAACTGAGATCCATGTCACAAAGTGGTTGGCTGACCAGCGGCTATATTGAGAAAGAAAAAGGAAGGAAGGAAGGAAGGAAGGAAGGAAGGAAGGAAGGAAGGAAGGAAGGAAGGAAGGAGAATGGTATTAATTTATTCGTATCATAAATAATGCTGCAACTAAAATATACCATAATTACCTAAAAGCAAGATGACCCTCCACTCAGAAAGCAACAAGAGACTCAAATAAAACAGAACAGATCTTGTAAATGCCCATCTCCCCCATCTTCTTAGTTGAGGGTTTCCAACTCCAGTGGAAAAGAATCCTGTATTCCCCCGTCTCTATTAATGTGTGCACCCGTCTCATTTATGTGTGTGTGTGTGTGTGTGTGTGTGTGTATCTCTACACGTGCAGGCAGGCAGGCCTATCTTCCAGAAGCCACATTCTTAAAACAGGACAAGGGCAGGACAAAAACATGAATTTATATTAATTTAGTTAATAACAACTAATTAAAATTCATTACCTGTAAAACAAGGGAGCTCGTTTACAAGATTAATTGATCTCTACTTGCACATTCCAACCATTTTTTTCATTTACACAAGCCAGCCTCACACAGACAGAAACACCCTATACACACACGCGCGCATCTTCCTTCCAGAACAAGCAGCAAAGAAGATGCAAAAATCCCAGGAGGGAGATGTGATGAGAGGAAAGAGTAATGACCCTAAGAAGTTTTGGGGCAGAACTCCTCTTCCTCCCCCTTGATAGGCTCTGCATAAGATCATGCCGAGATTTTCTGCTGCCTTCTCCTCTACGTCCCAATGCTAGGTGGCCAAAGAGAGAGGACGCCCTTCAGTGCACTTATTTGATCTACAACTGTAAGAACAATCTGACTTCCCTGTTGGGATGGGTCTCCTTAAAAAATGTTATATGTGCTAAGCAACCCTACTCTTTCTCAAAAAGGGTATTTCAGGGCTGAATCTAAGCCAGTGTTTTTCAAACTTTGGAACTTTAAGATGGGTGGACTTCAACTCCCAGAATCCTGGGCATTGTAGTCCACCCATCGTGAAGTTCCAAAGTTTGAAAAACACTGATCTGAGCCCACCTAGTCCAGATCTTTTTCAAGAATTGGAATGGCGGTTGGCCCAAACAGGCAGCTTTCCATACCAATTCACTTCATGCAGAAGAAAGGGCTTGTCAAATTATGAAATCTCAAAGGAAGAAATCAATACAGGAAATGACTGAGTAGCTATAAAATACCTCTCCTCTACCTATCCAGGATGCGGAAGCGTTTCCCAGTTTAACAACAAACAACAACAATAAAACCTTGCTCTCAAGCTACTCTTTGCATTATATAGGCTAGAGAGTGTGGAAAAGAAAAGGATGTTGCACACATTCAGATATTCCATACCCTTTTCTGCTGAAAGATCATGGTCAACAAACACAGAAAATAATCTTTGTTTCTTCCAGGCTTTTTGCAAAACTAAAAAGATTCTTCCAGTTTGAGCTGGTGGCATCAGGCAACCTCTCTCTTCCTCTGCTCCTCACAGCCTGATTTCTTGAGAGGGCCAACATTTACACTGATGCAGAAACACCATTTGAAACACTGATACAAAAGCAAGTATTATGTATGTTCTTTACCCCATCTACGTATAGATGTGGCACTCATGAAACACGCTTGTGTCAAAAAACTAAAACTGTCACAAGGCTATGAATTGGACCAACACATAAATAGCCACTTGTTTATTCTAGGGCAAAAGCCAACTGCTCTCACGGATACATTGACTGAGAAGATGAATCGACATTTCAGGGGTAAAGTTAAATGAGAGCCCTCCACCAGAAATCAGACACGTCGTAAAGCCGTGCCTTCTACTCACACAGAAACCCCACTGAGCACAGATTGAATCAGCAAAACACAGGATAATAAAGCATTTTACTTATGCCTGTAAGGCTCTGTTGGGACAGTCAGGCTAAGAAAATGCTTTTCTGGATGAAACAGTAAAGATTCAGGATGCTTTTGCCAAGATCTGCTTTTTGATACTTACTTCTGGATTTGATGTAACAATCGCTGCAGGTGAGAAGGCCATTTTTGATCCGGACGTCCGTTCCGGTTGCTGCATCCCCGAGCTGTCCCTTACAAATTCCACACTATTTATTGACAAAGAAGGGTGACATCTCTAAATATTTTTATTTGACTGCCATTTATACTGCAATCTCTTATTGGTTTTACATCTGCTTAACTGTCATGGTGCCATAACCCTTCTTAATTTGGACCATGGGCAAGAGTGCTAAAATTTTTCAGCCTAGTGTTGTCAGCCTTCCCAGGGAGACCAGACAGGAAACACGACCAGATGAGCTCATTCTACTTTATTGTAAGGCTACATTAACAGAATCTTCCAAGTCTGAAAGTACAAATCTCCCACCATCTCTTTTACTGCCTGAGAAGTTAGGGAGGTTCCTTTCTGAGTCTCTTTCTCTGCCCATTTTGCAGCTGAGGGCTATGCCCTCTCTTATCTGGTCATTCCCCAGGCAGCATCTCTTCCCCCGTCTCCCGAGGTCATTCTCACATATCATTACAAGTATCTCCTTAGATTCCGTCATGAGACTAGAGTTCCAGAATTGTACAGAGTAAGGAAGATGACCTTGGTGAAGCTATGCAAGCTCTGTTGCCAAGGCAACAAGGGGTAAAACATATCTTAAGTCCACACCATCCAGATAATGTTCGGAAGGGGCTCAGACACTGAGCTATAAGGAGGAGGAGGAGGAGGAGATTCAACAGAATCAAACTTGCAAGGGTCTGTTATTATAGCCAGCGGAGTTGATTTCCTGATCTGCTCTACCTAGTGGGGCTGACAAGAATTCCCTATGAAGAAGGAATAACGCTTCATGGTTTAAATGTTTCATCTGAGTCTGAGGCTTTAGATTAAAAGACATATGGCTCAGAAACATCCATTGCACTAGCAATTCTGCCTCTAAAAGTGTCCATCAAGAGAAGGAAAACTTCCATGCATTTTGAGCCTCGTTCTCTTAAACAACGACCTGATCACCAACATATGCATATAATTTGAAGCAAAATGAAATTAAGCAGTTAGAAATCAGGTGAAACAAGAGAGGGCGGAGCTGGCGTCGCGGCGATACGGCGGGGGGGGCCGGGGGCCCC